ACAAAAAGTGTTTCTGAAACTTTAAAATAGGCTTCAGATGAATAGATATGGAAAAATGCTCAGTCTAAAAAAATTATAAACTCTCAGAAAATAGCAATTGCATCAATGTGTGGGATTCTCCTTACTTAGCTGTCTGTTTTGAGTTTCCTATAATGCACCCCCCCCCAAAAAAAAATCATTAGAAAATTTCCCATTCTTGACTAGATAAACATGTATGGTCTTATATGGCAGGCACTAATATTTCACTTTTCAGCTGCATAGTGTTAAATACTCCATTAGGATTATTTTGGAGATCCTGCTGCATACTTGGAACAGTATCCTTCTGTGACCTGGAAAAGATTCTGTACAGAGGAACTATATATTAATTATAGTAATTGTGTGAGGGTAGGTTCCTTTGTTTTTCAAAGTTGACTTTCTATAATGGATAGAATTAAAGCAGGTAATTTATTTAAAAAAGAACTAAAGAAGATCTTAAATGCATGGACCAATTAACCAGATATTATGATGTTGGGACAGGTTATGTTCTTCATAGATGGCCCATGTCTATCTGTGACTTTTGTGGCAAAGAACTGTGAAGTCTTTAGTGCTCTCTGCACTTGATGGGATCTCAGAGAGCACCAAGGACCCCACAGTTCAACCCCGAGCTATAAATATTCTCTTCTGTTGGTGGTAAATAACTTATTGTTTCCTTTTTCTTTTGCAGATATTGGAATGAATTTCATAATTGTGTGATGGCTACTCTTTGGGTATGCCAGAAGGAGATGGTGACTGTCTGGGAGAAATTGAAAAAGGAATCTAGAAAAATCAAATTTGAAGGCAATCTTTTTGACCTCTGCATCTCCAATAACTACCAGAATTTACCCTCATCCCAGGTCCCAACCCTTTTTCTATTAAGCATCACACTGATGCTCATTTGGCTCAATTTATGAAACCAAAGCAACAGCTCTGTGATTTTGTACAAATGAACATATGCTTTCTCTCCCCTTAATATTTGGAAAATATTGTTTGGGGCATTTCTTTTTCTTTTTTAGTGATTTTTTGATTGTGGTAGCAGAATTTTCTAGTATTTATTTTTTCCAGTGAGATCAGTTGTAAATATGGCAAGTGTTCCAACTGAATTTTGACAATCAAAAGTTGTGCATGCCTTAAGGATCTCAAAATTAAATTACTAAAATACAGCTTGAATAGGAAACTGTGGCAGGAATGGAATGCTGTTGCTAGATTTTGTATCTTGATCTGCTAATTAGGTAAGCCTTTCATTCCAACAGTTGTACTAATTTCTCCATTTAAAGAACTTTGTAGCAACTTTCTTTTTGTATATAGATGTAACTTCTGTAATTAATAGATTGGCAGTTTTAGGAAATAAAATGTTGGGGAACTCAAGAGGGTAATATGAGCTTTTAAAATAACTGGATTCTCTCAGCAGAACATGCTGGTTTCATTACCCAAAATGTCGAAAGATTACAGACTGATGATTGACTTGTTATAGAGGTGTTTGAAGGAATGATTAGTTTAGATTAGTTTATGTTGTATTTGACTTGAGAATTAAAGAAGATTGACCGAAACTCTGAGATAACTTAAGGAATAGCATCTGAAGTTCTGAACCCATCTACAGGTTTGCAAGGAATAATGCTGTGATACCCTTTTTCCTCCATTCCTGACAACTAGTTTTTCCTCCTCCCTGATTTTCCCATGGATGTCGCAAAATACAGTCATGTATAGTAAATATTTCTGAAATGGAAAGAAACAATTCAGTGAGAAGTAAACATTCTTGCAATTTTTTTAAAGGAAAACTTTTGTATTGCAGGTTGATCACTTGAATCAAGTATGACCATGGCTGTAAAATAGCAGTGGAGACATGGAATTGCCTTGTTCATTGCTTCTCTGGCTATATTTTTGATAACTGCCTATTCTGGTTGAGGCTCATGGGAATTGCAGTTCAACTTTGGAAATTCCCTACATTCCTTACCCCCACCCTAAAGTCCATATGAATTCTTGTATAACTAGGCCAGGGGTGTCAAAACTCAAGGCCTTGGGGCCGGATGCAGCCTGTGGAGTGCTTAGATCTGGCCCTGGAAACAGCGAAGGACTGGCCCGTGGCGCTTCTGCCAGTGCAAACAAACCTCAGGAGGGTCATGTGCAACCCTCCTGAGCTTCGCTTGTGCTGGCAGGGGGTTGCAAGAGGCCATTGCAGCTGGAAATGGAGCTCAGGAGCCTGTTTTCACTAGCAGAGCGCTTGGGCTACCACAGGCACCTCCGACACGAGTTACACTGAGTTGGCCATGCCCCATGGCCACGTCCACTCTGCCTCCGCCAAAGTCAAACACAACCCTAATGCGGCCCTCAATGAAATCGAGTTTGACACTTCTGCTCTATGCTATACATATGCCACGTGTTGCAGCTATTTTCAACGTATTCTCGTAATTTCTTACTTTCCAATTCCGCCTCTCTAATTTGTACTGAATATACAAAGCAACCTTAAATTGCCACCATTAATGTTAAGTTGCCTTTGTTTAATATTGGTATTTAGACTGATTTCTTCCCATCTGTTGGCCACTGTGCTGTTCTCCAGATTTGATGGCATGGTTGGTTAGAACCTTTACCGATCCTTCTTCTGTTGCTTGCTATATTTCCGTAGCTTTTTCATCAATTCTTGTAGCCTTCTGACTTGATAATTACTGGAGTGTTGATCAAATTTGTTTTTTTAGTATTTGACATTCATGTAAATAGGTGAAATCTTCTAAGGTATCTTGGATATTAACATCACGCTGTACAGAATGTCAGTATATTACTTCTGTTTTTGTTTGATCTTCTTTGAATCATTACAGGTAATCTTCGATTTATGACCAATTGTTTAATGACTGTTCAAAGTTAGAGTGGCTTCATAGTTATGAACACATGATCCACTTAATGGCCACAGTAAAAACCATTAAAAAATTGTGTCCTGTCATGTGGATGCCTCAATTTATAACTACAATGACTTACAACCACACTCCAGTCCCAATTATAGTTGTGTGTTGAGGACAACTTTTGCTATCTGTACATTAGAGTCCCTTACTATACTAATTTAAGGATTATATTTCCTTCTGAGTTAAAGAACTTCTGACATCAATCTTTAACAGCCTCTTTGACTTCATTCTATTGTTCCTCTGGTTGCCTGTCAATAAGAGCCAGGATCTTGAAGAAATTATTGGTATTAGTCTTGAAAATGATGGATATATGCTCAAAATCACATGGACATTGACTTACATCTTGTACACGATCAGTTTGTGATCTTCAATCAGTCTCGCACTTCAGTCTTTCTTAACTAAATCTTGTTGTGTCAATAATACAATTGATTTTCTTTCTGCTTAGTCCATCAGGTGATGTCCACACATACAGGTATGCTTTTCGTGATCTGAAGACTTGTGTCAGCAATCAAGAAATAATTTGATTAGCAGAAACTAATTATTGTCATTGTTACCAGAAAGTCACTATTTTGCTTAATTTTCCAGGTTTCCTTGGCCTTATGATTCATGTTTTGCTTGTGAATTCTGTCAATGTATGGAAAGGTAGGTGGGGGTCGAATAAGTTGCAAACAAAGTCATTTCTTTTTAACTACTTCTTCACTTTGCCTTATTTAAGCACGTCCCTGAATTCCAAACATAGTCAACCATAAATAAATGTGCACCCTAGTTTTTCTTCAAAGCATATCATTAATACCACATCAAGGAAGGACAAGTGAATCCCTGCTAACATCTGCTAAATAGACCTTAAATAATGGGGATGGAAAAACTTGGCACTTAGATTTTCACTGTTTGCCTAATTAGATTCTAGTCTTTAGTCAATGTTAGTCTACAGAGATTCACTGAAATAGCTGAAAATCTCCTTTGCTGTGTTAGGTATGCTATTATGATACTCCCAAAGGAAAACAAATGCCTTGAGCACACATGCTCATACACATAAACACTGCAGACAGATTGCTTAATACCTTAGCTTACAACAGGAATTGCAGTGGCTTACATTGCTGTCTCAAAAGAAAGCAGTGCCATCTTCTGGAAGAAGTGATATTATCACAGCTATAATTCAACAAGCATACTATACAGTACAATATGTTAACGTTGGATGAAGGCAGTGTGACTCACCTATATTTCCCAACTACAGCAATGGTGCAAGGAAAGATATTACTTCTGCCCAAATCTATATTTAAGTATGTGGACCAGAACATGCTATTTTGGCAGAACTTTGGGGTTTCTTTTATATGTTATCAATGGATCCCATATGAGTACTTTGAGAGATGGTTGATAAAATTCATTTTCCAAAATTATTCACCTTAATCATTATAAGCATTAGCTTCCCAACTGTAACCGACACAAATTATTAGCATTCCCAAACATTTATGTAAAAAAGGAAAACTCTGGGATATGTGTGTGTGTGTGTGTGTGTGTGTATGTGTGTGTGTATGTATGTATGTATGTATGTATGTATGTATGTATGTATGTGTATGTATATATATATATATTTTACAGCTACCCTGGGGTGCATTATAGATGAACCTTCCATTCACATCCTTTCTTTTTACAGGAAGTCAATATGAGCTCTGGAGTTTACTCAGGTTCCATTCTAAGAAGACAATTACAATTATATGCAGAACAAGTTTGACAGTAGTAGCAGTTACAAAAAGAATTAACCATCCTGCTTTATGTGCCCTGCACAACACCTTGCACATTTCCTTGGTTATGAACAGTGAATCTTCAAGATGAAACATTCATTGCAGTAAACAAGAGGACTTATTTGAAACAACTCCAGTCTCGAAGTATGTGACCAGGGGCAGTTATCTCTCTATGCCACACATTATGAACAAGAGTGGTTAGTCCTTGTTCACCTTTTTGAAGCCAGTAGTTTAAAACTGTCTAGGCCATGGTTTTCTAAATTGTATTACCAACTGATGACTTTCTCATTTCATAGTCATATCAGTAATACAATCCAGCCCGATGAATACATTATAAAACTTCAATGGAAAGTTGAAATCTTTATTAAATAAAATAGTATTTTTTTTCAGTCCAATAAATACAGTCACATTACTCTTTGTTGTTAATAAGCTTTCTGGAATCTGAGCAGCCAAGTGAGTCACAGTACTGTGCCTTTCTGCATTGTTTCATCTCCTTGATCCTTTAATTCAAAAAGTGGAAGTAAAACAAGTATCAGGTATATGAAGGATAAAAGGGAACAAAGTGTCCATTGTGCAATTGTTGGAGTTCTCTAGTCAACTGATGTTCACACTATAGAGAAGGGAAACTGTGATCATCACCACTCACTGCACGCTTCTCAAAATATTTCCCAAGTCTTTTATGGATTTTATCCAATACTCGAGTCTGATCACTTTGGCAAATTGGGCGTGTCTGCATAGTAATACAAATGAGTTATGTAAAAACTATATTCATCTTGGCCTATCAAAGTATTGCAAATGTCAGTCTCCCAGCTAATATATTTAAGGCCCTCTGGATTTCTTCGGTTGCATTTCCACGTTTTACAAACTAGCACCAAGATGCTGATACTGATGGAGAAACACAGGCCCCCTGACGGCCTATACACTGGATTTGGGGGCTGAATTTAATGGGATTTCTTTCAGTTCTGTCCTCATACAGAGGTATTCCCCAATCACAGCCATGAGTGCTGTGCACACAGTATGTACAAGCCACCAGGTCAAAGCTGTTGGAAAGTATCCGTTGTAAATCCAGCAGCCCAACAGGTGGAAAAAATGAACGGTGGCGGTGAAATCCAAGCACTGCTTTCCGCGTCGAATGAAATACAATAAACCGATGGCACTGCAGAAGAAAAGAAAAGAATGGTGTCAAACCTTAAGACACACCATCTTCAACATGGTATTTTCCATATAAGCTATGCAAGATATAGCTCATGGATTTTCATTTAAACCCTTATCCAAGCGATGTGAGAAAGCAAAGAAATTAAAGGAAACTTTAGATTCAAAAGATAGACATTTTATATTCTTTTCCATTTCAGCACTTTTAGGCCCTTTAAAAAATTGGTAGCTGAAAATAAAGTGAAATTCTAATATAAAAATTTCCTTACTCTTCTGTTTTATATGTATGCCTTTGATTTTTTTATCATTGTCTCTAGAAGAGTAATTATGTACAGGTAGTCCTTGACTTACAACCACAATTGGGCCCAAAATTTCCACTGCTAAGCAAGGCAGTTGTTAAGTGAGTTTCCCCCATTTTACGATTTTTTTGCCACAGTTGTTAAGCAAATCACTGCAGCTGTTGAATGAATCATGTGGTCATTAAGCAAATCTAGTTTCACCTCCTTAACTTTGTCTGAAGTCTCTTGGGTTACAAATTGTGATCGTATGACAATGGAACAATGCAACTGACATAAATACATGCCAGTTGCTAAGTGCCTGAATTTTGATCACCTGGCCACAGGGTGTGATGAGCCAGGGTGGGATACAAAATAAACAGTCACAGAAAACAGGTGAAGCCCCTTTTATTCTTTCACTTTGCTTTCAAGTTCCGAATATTCTTGACGGAAGACAAAAAACTCCCAAAGTTATAAGGAAAAAAGCAACACAAACCAGGCAAGATAAGGGCTGGAGGATGTCCACAGATACAACACACTGGGAAGGATGTCAAACTCAGAGAGGAACCATCAACTAGAGATATTTCCACGCTTTGTTTCCAGCATTCGCCCGTATGCATGTCCGTACTCTTATTCAGTTGTCACAGCTGCAGCCCATGAAGAGGATCAAGGCCCACTCCTCGCGAGTAGACCACGTCTCTCCCTGATCCTCTCCTCTCTGCGTGCTCTAGGATGGAGAGGGGATAGGCCTGGATCCTCTTCTGATTGCTCAGCTGGCTCTGCCCTTCCCCAGCCTCCTCCACAACCTCCGGAGCCACACTTCCACTCCCTGTCCGCTGTTCCGCCTCTCCCTTAGAGTCAGTCTCCACCGGGGGCATGACACAGGGTTTGTTGCAACCATCATGTGAAAAATGGTTCTGTGTCACTTTTTTCACGATCATTGTAACTTTGAATGGTCAGTAAATGAATGGTTGTGAGTTGTGGAAAATTTGGGTAATTAAAATCACGTGTTTTTCCTTTCTAAAACTGTAAATTTTAAGCATATTTTTCTTGGATATTCTCCCTCTTGAAACTCTTTCCTTTTCTTCATTGCACCTTAAACAACTCCAATTTCTTTTTCTTTTGCATTAGATGTCACCATTATTTGCCTTATAATTTAGCAACCTTGGCTTCATCTTTCTGTATGGCCCTGCTTCTATACTTTTTCTCTGGATTCCTCTTCAGGATCTCTCCATAGGATTTGAGCAGTTCATCCAACCTGATTTCATTATGTGTTATCAACTCAGTGTCCTCTCTTAGGAATTACATAGGTAAATTTTCTCCTGGGCACTGTGTTCCCAGCCTGGTCTTTTCAGATGTGTATCCATTGCTTCTGTAGCTCAATCTGCCCACCTGGCAGAAAGATATTTTGGGCTACTTAGCTAATCATGTCAAATGCCTAATCCCAACCTTCTTTAGTTTGGCCTTCAATTTTCAGCACTGATAATCTGAATGCTTCTGTTTTTATCAAGAGGCAGCTCACCACTCTAAAGGTGTTTAGTTTGAGCATGTCAGAAATATATAACACGACTTACCAGGTGAGTGCATTTAGGATAAACGCCATTGTGGAAAGTCTTCCAGGAGAGGTGGCAAATCCCAAAACCTGTACAGATACAAAGAAACATAGCCATTGCAATAAACTGTAAACCAGCTAAGATCTATTGGCTTCAATGATACATCCTGTTACATCAGCTCTATAGTTCAAGAGGCACTATCTGGACAAGTAATCAAAGTCATTTTAATACTGATATAATAAAGGCAGTTATTTGAAACAGTGCATATTAACTTTTGAGATATTCATGATTTCATTTATAATATATACCAGAAAAGTACTTTAAATTTAAATGTAAATTATATGAGAAGTTATCCATGAAGTTATAGTTTTCAGTAATTCCTCTTAAAAATTTTCTACAAGATTTTTCTTTCCCTACTGCCTTCTTTGATTTGTCAGAATTTCTTTTTGATATACTGAAAATGTAATTACCTACCTCATAACTGAAAATCTGATCCAATGAAGGGTTGCTCTGCACCAAACTATCTACTAGAGCCAACCAAAGCCCCAGACTGCTGTAATAAATTGCTTGCATGAGCATGATTTGAGAAATGATAAGTGCAGGATCCCAAACATAACTGCGGAACTGCGGAGCCATTCCTGAAGCAACAGCCCATAGACTGCATAGAAATATATAAATAACCCACGGATGTCTCAAAACATGAAATCCCTTGTGTCACTGTCTAGAGAATGCAGAGTGATTCCATCAGCATCTGAAAAAAAAAAGTTTCATTCCAATTAAACCCTACAAAAAGAAGGCATTCTAATATACATCTCCAAAATCCAAGAAGTTGGTGGCATCTCACATATTATTTTAACTGACGGATATATTTATCTATTTAGACTGCAACCAGACTGATGTTATGTTACTATAATTGGGTTCATAAACAATACAGGCAAAAAACATAGACTGCCAATCACAGTGACTGGATTCCTACATTATACTAAGCCCAAAACAATCACATTATAGTCTAACATGATGTAGAAACCTAGTCACCATCACTCATGTTAACAAGAGATTCAAAAGCCTTAATAAACTTCAATTCTACAGTCATGGCAACCTTTTCACCATCAACATATACTAAGCTTGAAAGATGCTAGGTGAAGGGCTTGGTCCACGAATTGGCTTTATGTATAATTCCAAGTCACTAATGGTTTACTCACTATTTATGCAACAAACCACAAATGACTGAATTCACAAGTCACCCTAAACCACGATTGGCTGACTTAGAATAACTTTATTGTCACTTTGAATACTAATTGGCATGCATTAAAATGAAATTATGTTGCATACAGCTCTCAAAGGGTCTCCATCTCTAATATAAACATAAACATGACAAGATAAATAAGTAAATAGATAAATACAAAATTATGCATGTACATATGAGTTTGTGCCTGGTCAGGTTTGTGAAGCCAACCCCAGATCTTTTGACATGGTTCCCACGTCTTACTGAGTTTTCTTTGCACGAGTTCCAAACCATAGGTTTCGGGGGTTGTACAAAAGTAGACTTTAGATTAACAGAGTTGGAAGGGACCTTGTAAGGTCATCCAGTCCAATCCCCTGCCCAAGCAGGAGTCGCTACACCATTTCTGACAGATGGCAGTCCAATCTCTTCTTGAAAGCCTCCAGTGCTTGAGTGCACTTCTCTAGTTGGATACTATGGAAATGATCTCTGAAAGTATAGACCTTTAAAAGACCAAAATAATAGCTCACGGCTTCCGGTGTCTTTACAAAAAAAAGAAAGAAAGAAAGAAAAGAGAAAAGAAAAGGGTGGGGGGAGAAGGAAAAGAAAGATCAGTCCATTGTTGTAGATCGTGATGGGAGAAAACATCTCTGCTGGTTTTCTGTCAAGGGAAGGAAACGAAAGAAAGACGCATCATCCTAAAAAGGAGCCCATCCGCCCCACTTCTCACGACCGCTGCTCCCAATGGACGCGGCGTTCAGCGGCAAACCCGTAATTTCCCCCAAATCCTCCCGATTTACCCTTCGCATTTATTTCCTCGGTCCTTCTCTTCAGCCAGACCGAGAAGCCACGACAGCACAGGCTCCGCTCATCCACCGCCAGGCCCGTTCTTCGCAGCTGACTCCGTTCGTCGAACCATCGAGTCACGCGGCCTCCACTCGCCTAGAAGGAGCATTGAGACAACCACATCCCTCGAAAGAACCATGGAAACAACCCCGCGCGCCTAGAAAGGTAGCCAGTAAAAAGGAAGTGACATCAACCACAGGAAACGTGCGGGCCGGGTGGAGCTTATGATTCTATGTTGTCCCTGAGCCGTAGAGATAGAAGATTAGAGAATACATTTTTAAAAAAAAATATAAATCGTTGAATATTTTTCTAGGAGTCCTTTTAGAATGAAGAGAAGATAGTTTGCTCTAATCCATTCATTAAATACGCCTGAATATTTACAAACTCTCATTAAAAAAGTGAACTGGCTCTAATTTCCAGTGTGAACATTGGACGGTGCACAGAACAGTGGTAAGTGCTAATGCCACGGTGCTAACACAATATTTAAATGTTTCCCCAAAAGTACAGGCAGTGTTTCACTCTCCATTTCAAGCATGTCTGAGTATGTTGCCTGAATCTTAGTTCCAGAGGCATCACTTCCTAGGGAACCTCTAGAGCAGAGGTCCCCAAACTTGCCAACTTTACGACTTGTGGACTTCAACTCCAAGAATAGGAGTTGGAGCTATGCTGGCTGGAGAATTCTGAGAGTTGAAATCCACAAGTCGTAAAGTTGGCAAGTTTGGGGAGCCCTGCTTTAGAGGGGTCGGGATGACCCAGCGCTGAGTCAGCCTTACTCGTTCCGTCACGTTCACATTGTGTAATAACTTCTTTGGGCCGTCGGTTTCCCAGCCGAAGATGTAAAGAGAGAAAACTTAAACCTCTTCTTGATACCCGATAGGAGAATTCAATTAATGCAACTCCTCCTGTATCTTGGATTAGAATACCCAATCCCGCCCCCATGGGGCAGCTGAGAAATTCAAAACCAAATAGGCGTAGCGTACAATACCGTTAAGTGTTGCACTGGACAGGATTTTTTTTTTTTTGAGAATATCAGAAAATCCTGAGTTGTACCTAAGATGGGACATCCCAAAAAACTTTCCAGAATAAAAGCAGTGCCAAATAATTTAGTTGTTGCAAATAAACAAGGCATGTGCAGTCACCAGAAATAACTGACCACATTCTTATCAGTTTAAACGGGCTGTTTTAATGCAGGAATACATTGCTAATCAAATGACACTGTTCAGAAAATAACATCGAGGAGCATTTATTCAACTATAAGATTCTATGCAAAACCTTTGATTCTTATTTCAGGATTGTCTAGTACCACCCCCAATATTTTCCAACAAGTGTTGTGCTGTGCAAAGATTAAAAAAAAACACAAGTTGATTAGAACACAGAACTTCTAAATATGTACGGCTGCTTTATCTTGCTTACTATCTTCTAGCTGCCTGGTAAGCAGTAATATATCTTGAAGAAATCCAGTTGGAAAGGCTATCCTATGCTATCCTCATTGTAGTTGTGAAAACAAACATGAAAATAACATCCCTTTTCTTATTCTCTATTTGTTTGTTTCCAATGTTGTTTTTCTCATTCCAGCTAACCTCATGTCATCGTTCCATTACTAAGACAATCAAGGAAGTTTTGGAAAACATTGTGAGTTTCAAAATGTCTACACTCACCATTCCTAGCCTAGCCAGGCTCTATATGATGAAACAAAGGAAACGAAGAAAAGAAGGAAGGAGGAAGAAGTTTCAAAATCAAGAGTACTAGAAAAAACTTATTAAGGTGAAATTATCTGAATCATAAGACAGATGAATCAACCTCCTTGACACAGACCAAAAACAACCATGTGCAGTGACTAATGAAATATGCTATCGGAAAGCAAGTTTGTTTCTGCTGACCCTTGTGAAATGGGTTTAGTTCCTTTTCAAAGAAGAATTAACTAAAAAGTCAATTTCTGAATCTGCAAACCTGGGTATGTTTTCTTGGAAGCAACAGTGGCATTTACCTTTGAAGAATGAGACATCGGGTTGCCAGACTGGTGGTTTTTCTAATCTTTCTTTGAAAATTCTCAAGAAAGGTAAACAGTTATACTGCGATCTTGTGAAATATGCTCTCCTTTATGAAGGACATTTCTTTGTTTGAAAGTATCCTCTACTTAAAGTGCTGTTGGATTTAAAAATAAAGAGCTACAAGAAAGGAAAGCTTTGAAGTTGCCTTTCAACAGTTAAGACTTTCCTACATGTTCCCAGCACATGAAAATTGGACATTAAGTAAATAAAATAAACACAAAGACTAAACTGAGTCTTAGTAAGTAAGTAAATTGAGTAAGTAAAATAAAAGGAACACTAAGACTAAGCAAGTAGGTAGCTTATCCGGACACTGAGCTCATTCATATTATCTCTTGCCTTCAAGATAGCCTGATTACTGTTTATGATGTGTCCTCACATCAAGGCCTCCATCTTGGAGCCAGTTGGCTGCTGAGGCAGACTAAAGCTAGATCAAGGTTGCTCAGACAGGAAAATGGAAGAAAACCTCTTATATGAATATTTTGAGTCACAAGATTGATTAGTTTTCAATGTATGTGTCAAGAAAGTCTTAACCTCACAAAAGACAATATTCCATTTCTTCACAAAAACAAAAATAATATGAGGTTGTAGGCCCACATCAGTAGCTGTCTGAGTTTGTAGGCTCACATCAGTAGCTCCAGTAGGAAGGGGTTGCGCTGACAATGGCTCTCCCAGTTCAGCTGTACATGATGGGACTTGCACTCACTTGGGACTTTGGAGCGGCTGTCCATAGTCTCCGCTGTCCTCTTTCTTGGGCTAACTATCAATAAACTACAGTGTCTGCCCTGGCCCTACATATTGATAATTAAGGATACATAGGTGGATAGGTCCCACATTGTCTACATCCCCTTCTTTTGGGTATTTGTAGAAGCAAGGGCCTGAAGTCTCTAGATGTTTACAGCCTGCCTACAACCCGTTTAGAACAACTCTTGCTACTCATGTCAGGAGCAGTAGCAATCACTATCCTTATTGGAGGACAGAGACTGCCAGCCTAGTTCTGGAGGCCCAGCCAGGAAAAATTGCAATGGGGCAATGACTTTTAGATCCATATTTCTCTTTGAATAGAGGCTGATTACTGCAGTGATGGCTGTGCAAACCTTTTGCAAAGGCATGTTTATCAAAGCCTTAATGGAAGTAATCCTTTGAGATCATTCTATAATACAGTCAAAGGCATTCAGTAGTTCTTACATGAGCCAAGACAACTCTTTCATGGGCATTTTTGGTAAAGAGAAGTGCCTCATTTTTTCTTAGTCAAGGCACAAAGTCAATTGTTCCATGTTGTAATCCAAGACTAAGCCCATGCAGTAAACATAGATTCTGGGATTAAATCATATTCAGTCTTACTGAATGAAGTGCAAATTCTATTGAGAAACAAAAATGGTATAAGTAAAACAGAGGACATCCATAATGAAGGCTGGCTGATATATGCAAAGTCTTGTCTGAGAATGGTTATGTCTGAGTTTAACGGAAATAATGAAGTCATACATTGCATTTGGTTCTGTGAATTGCTTTTTTATTTTTATTGCAGAATAGCCTTTAGTCTTTCTTCTTCTCACCACTCTGTGCTTTATGTTTATGCATTGAAACTTACAAGAAGGAAATTAAAATAAGGCATTGTTTCTCTGTCATGATTATTTTGCAGGATTCTTGCGATCATAAAGTAAGGATTGTGAAACTGTTTTCAGTGCAACTCTGAACTCTTAAGCAAAGTGGAAAATATAAATAAGTATCATCCTAAAAACATTTTGCAAGGATTTCTGGAATCTTACTTTCTGAATTTGGAAAGGAACAAAGATAATTTTATTCGTCATATACTACCTCTGTCTTCTTCCATCCTTCTCTTCAACCAACTTTAAGGTATCAAAAGGGGCACATCCGCATTCCTCTACCTTCAACTTGAAAATGCCTCACTGAGCTTCTTTAGGGACATGGCTATGTGATAATCTTCTTTGTCATCCACAATTTACATCCAAGTCCAGCTAATATCAGGGTGTCCTGATCTCATATGCAAACAGTGTGTCTCTATATTCTCTCCAAATACAAGCTTTGCAGCTCATGTAGTTCCTGTTGGTTTCTGCAACCATTTTCCTCTCCAGTCATTGCCAATTTTCCTTCTTGAGCATTATGATTGGTGATGGTGGACTGACACCATACTGAATCACTTCAGAAATGTCTTAGATTTTCACTTCTCTAACAATCTTGTTTGCCTGTTAGGGAATTTGTTGTTACATGGTCCTAACAGGCAGGTTGTTTTAGAAAGATCCTAGTCTATCTGCTAGTAGAACAATAATTCCTAGAGAAAGCTCTTAAGCAGGACTTGCTGGCTTTGTTATCGAGTAGAGAAGAGACTGACAAATGTAGGTGGAACATTGTGCCAGCAAACTTACCATCTCAAAAAACAGATTAAAGCACATTAAACCAGTTTTTTAAAGATACATTAATGATCTATGATGGGCAAATCCTACCCTGAAATATTTGTAATTATCTTGGTGTCATGTTGCTTTGCTGTCACTAGGCGGCAAATCCTCTTAATACAGTAAATAATCTAGGTTTGGTTGCAACAATTATTTTTAAGAATTGCATAACTAATGTTAACCAAATCAAATTTTTTAAAGAATGCTCTTTAATTTTTTGGGACATCTTATTTTCAGGGATGTATAATTTTGTATATGAACTTCTTTTCTAATGTAGCTGCTTTCCACAGCTTGTAGTAACATGCCTGTAATTTGGATTGTTAAAAATGAGGAAATGTTTGTTCTCATGCTATTGATGGAGGGAGGAGAAAATATGACTCTTCCAACTCCTGTGCAGATTTTTCATGTACTTTTTCTGGTTGACTGAATCAGGTCTTCTGGATGATCCACTTTAGAGCCTTGCTAAGACTGTCATGGCAGTGTGCCATGTACTATATTATCACTTACATTTATGAGGAAAAGCTGACAAGATGGGGGGGCTATAAAGAGTTAACAAATAGACAATTGTGATGGTTTGGCACAACTTACTTGCCCCACTTCCCTACTTCTCATCTGCATTGC